ATCTCTGAACTTAACATGGGTACAGGTAATCATTTTAACTTCATTTGTTATGTATAAATGGAATTTTAGGTCTAACCAGTAATGTACATGCTTAAGGCTGATTCCTTTTCTCCCCTTTCTCCCAAAAGCTCAAAACAGTCATGATGAAAATTCAGTGGGAGGAAAACTTTAAAAATGAAATGATAATTGGGACTTACCCAAAAGAAACACAATCCTGCAAAGGCATAAGAAGCTTCTTTTGTAAAAACCATCTTGATTAAGAGAAATGAAAAAAGCAATTAAAAATAAAATACCAGTATGTTCACAGAGAAGTTGATAGCAGTGAATACAAATTGAGAGTTAAGAAATGAAAACCACTGATTTTCTATCCATGTAGCAAAATTACCAAATCTATCAGCAGTATTCAGGACAAGTAGTAAAAGAAAGGTCAATCATAATTTCAGTCAAGGCAGAAATATTTAATAAAAAGTAGTACTCTGTTTGGGAAGAAGTAGGATTTTTTTTCATATCTCACAAAGTTGTCAATTCTAGTAATAGGTAAGAGCATGTTAAACAGAAATTAAGTATTCTTAAATCTTCTGTGCTAGGTAACTAATATTCAGCAACATAAGAGAAGTGGTCAGGTGTTCTCCGAATCACTAATATTAATTTATTTGTTTTTATATGTGGCTTGTACTACTGGAAAGTTTCCAGATGAATAGAAGGAAGGAGAAAGAAACCTTTGTGCCAGTAGTTAAAGGTAAATGGAAAGGCCTATGAAACTATATGTCAGTTAGAGTGATATCAGTCTCATCAAAATTTTGGAAAGGTTGACCTGGGATGTAGTTAATGGAGAGTTCCAGAATGGTAGTATAGTTGATGTTGGTCAGTATAGTTTTATGGAAAACAGGTTTTATCAAACAAGTGGTGCTTTCAATGAGGTTACAAGATTGGCTGATAAGATCAACTGACAAAAAAGCTAGACTTCTGTAAAGTATTTGGCTCAGTTCTGCCTGACATTCTGGTAAAATAAAGTAGCATTATACAAAATGAGTACTATTCCTATCAAATAAATAGATCTAAACAAGTAATTGCAAATCCCTTTCCTGTGGGGATGTTTCTAGTGGAGACTGCAGTCATTAGTTCTTGACTCAATCCTATTAAATATCTTTATCTGCACTCTAGAAGCATGTTTACAGTAACTGCTGGCAAACATCACACATGATTAGTGCAATAGTGAAAAAACAAAATGAAGGGGTTATGAATTATACCATATGTTGTGGATTGCTTAGAAAGATGGGCTTGTTTGAACAACCTGAATTTTTAACACAGCAGAATGCACAGCCATATTTAAGAAAAATGAATGTAGGCCACACTTAGGATGCACAGTACCCTGGAATGCAGTGACACTTGAGGTCACCATAGATAAAGTGAATGTGAGCTCCCAGTGTGATGATAGTATAAGGTGAATATGTAAGCAGGGAAATATCAAGTAGGACAAGGGAGGTGAAACCACTTGTGTATATGGCAATAGTGATACTTTTTCTGGACTGTATGGTTCAGCTCTGGTGTCCTCAGTTGAAAAGGGATGTTTGGAAGTTAAAAAATTCGTAGAAAAGGTATAAGAATAATTCATGGTGTAGAAGTGTGCCTTGTAGCAAGCAAATATGAATCAGTTCTTTATCCAAAAGAAAGTTTAAGTAATTTGATCATATTCTACACAAGGTAAAGGACTACATGGGGAAGACTTCTGATAGTAGATGCTTCTTTAAGATAATGGCGTAATGACATCCAATGGTCGGAAGCTGAAGCTGAACAAACAAAAACCAGAAACAAGGTGCATGTTTTTGACAGTATAATTAACCATGAGAACAGTTAGGGGTATGGTTGATTCCTCATTACTTGACATTTTGGTTTAAAAGGCATGTTCAAATGAAATTTAAGGGCATATTACAGGAATTGCTGGGTGAGGCTTCTCTTAAGTAGAAAGCTAGACTAAATGAGCAAACTAAACCTTCTAGTGTAAAGAACTATGGAACAATAGGTCTGTAAAATGAGGGCTTAGGAAATTGGAAAATGGGACTTCTAAGAATTCTCTCTTGCGCAAGTTATTTGTTGCCCTACAGTTATGAGCAGTGCAAAGTAATGAAGGACATCTTTCAGAATCTGCAGGGACTGCTCCAGGGCTGTCATTTTGGGGTGGTTAAGAGGTGGGTAGCTGTTAAAATCGTACCATATTGACACACATCCAAAATGAGGCTTTTTTCCCCTTCCATTCAGCATAGGAGAAGTGCCTTGTCTTGGATTTGAGTACAAGCAAAGGAGAGCAGCTCCTCCTCCCTCCCCCTGCCACCTGCCTCCCACAGCTTCTGTCCCCTGCCTCCCGCTGCCTGTGCCCCTTTTCCCTTGCTGCTGCTGCTGCCTACCTTCCTGTTGCATCTCCTTGGGCATGGAGCACATGAACACTCTAGCCCCTGCATAGCCATGCAGCAGCAGCAACTCTAGCCCTGTTCCAGGGCTGGAGCTAGAGCTACCACTGCCACAGCAGATGCTGCTGTGCTGGAGTGGGGCTGGATCTGGAGCTGCAATGGGAAGGTAAACAGTAGTGGTGGTGGGGTTGAGGGGGTGACTGTCATGACTGTTCTATAAAGCAGGGCGTCCTCGGAGGAGTCCAGCCAACCTAGTAGAGTATTCTTTATATATCCATGGATGGGCATTAACACTAGACTCTGGAAATGGCTTCCACATCCCCTCCATACATGCAGAACATACTTACTGTTCCAGCAAAGGATTCTATGTATGAGAGTGTCACAAGGACAGAAATTGACTGTCTACGTAGTTGCCCAGTATTAGACAGCATCAGCATTTTGAGCTGCAGATGGGAGGTGTTAACATGAAGTAAAGAGTTCTGTGTCCAGTTTTGGGCTCCACATTCAAAAAGGATGCGGAGAAGCTTGAGAGAGTCCAGAGAAGAGCCATGTGCATGATCAGAGGTCAGGAAAACAGACCTTACGATGACAGGCTGAGAGCCATGGGGCTCTTTAGCCTGGAAAAGCACAGGCTCAGGGGTGATCTGATGGGCACCTATAAGTTTATCAGGGGTGACCACCAGGATCTGGGGGAATGTTTGTTCACCAGAGCGCCCCAAGGGATGATGAGGTCGAACGGTCATAAACTACTGCGAGACTGTTTCAGGCTGGACATAAGGAAGAATTTCTTTAGTGTCCGAGCCCCAAAGGTCTGGAACAGTCTGCCGTCGGAGGTGGTTCAAGCACCTACTCTGAACACCTTCAAGAGCAAATTGGATGCTTATCTTGCTGGGATCCTATGACCCCAGCTGACTTCCTGCCCTTTGGGCAGGGGGCTAGACTCGATGATCTTCTGAGGTCCCTTCCAGCCCTAATGTCTATGAAATCTAGAAAATCTATGAAATTCATTGGAAGAATGGAGTTTGTGGGTTGGAGCTGAGGTATGTCACCACTTGCAAAAATGAGCAAAAGTGGTTGCAACCCAAATGTTTGGCTTGATAAATAAACTTAATCATTGTTCTGAGTAGTCAGAAGGAAGATAATTAACTAGTAGATTTTTAAATTTTGGAGCATCTTTGTGTTGAAGGGGGCCTTTAAAATGAGATGCGTGGTAAAATATGGAAAGGATATTGGAGAATATTTTTGGTTAGTTAATTATGAATTGCTGACACAGCAGCTGAACAATGGGAAGAGACAGTTCCTTTCAATATATATTTTTCGTAGTCGTTCACCTAGTTTAATGGAGATTAAAATGCCCTTTTTCTTCAACTGGACTATAATGGTCTTACTAAATTTGGAGACCCATGTAGGAGAAATGGTATCAGATGGCTTTATTGAAATAGAAACTATTTATGTTTCTTTACCCGTGTTGAAAGCAAAGACCAAAATCCAGTATTTTCCACCAAAAGGAATGCCCTCACTACTGAGCCATGGAGTCGGTCTACCTCTTCCTTGCTTTCAGCCTGGTTAGGGTACGGTGTAGGGTAAGGTGTGAGATGTGGGTTTGAGCACCATCAGGCTAGTGAGGGTCTAGAACTTACATATCCCACTGCCTTGACAAATGCTCTAACAATGACCAGGGGTTTCAGGCATGCAGCCCACATCTGATCTGGGCCAGGGAGCTGTTCTTTCCTACCCATTGGGCTTTCGGCAGGCCAAGGAATTTGGTGGCAGGGCTTGCTACAGAATCCAGGGCTACAGGCTTCCATTGGACATGTCTGTTGGCAGCAAATGGGCGAGTGAGGGTTGAACCAACATAGTCCTGCTTGGCCTGCCACCCGTTGGCCTGGTGCTGTTTGGTGCATCACTAACCTACTACAACTGCTTCCACTGCTTGCCCTGTTGTTTCCAAGTCCTGATCTGGACTATGAGCTCTTCCACTATATGAATCTGGTCTGGGGTGAGTGGGTGAGTTTGTTACCTCTGGAATAGAAAGTGAGGCTTTTCCAGTGCTTTAAAAGAAAAAAAGGAAACCTTGCTTGTGGCTTGTACACAAAGGGGTTACAAGGTGAACCTCTAGATTGGGTTTAAGGGCTGTGAATCCCTGTTTAATATAACTGCCAACCACAACTCTGAGTTGGGAATGTAAGTCGTCTGGGAGAGAAGTGAGATTTTTCAGACGTACCCTTCTCTATATTTTAGGCATTCCCACCCCTTAGCCTGCTAAGTGGTATGAATCCCAGTCACAGGTAGCCTCTTCTCCGTATCTGTAGTTTAGGGACCTGTAGCATCCAACTTGGGTTTGTGAATTCCATTTCTGCAGCTGGGCATCTGACTTTGATATGGCATGTTGAATGTTCCCACACCTAAGAGATCCTTTGAATCTTGCTCTACATATTTTTTTAATTATATCCAGCTTTCTCCAGTGTTATCTTTACATGGCTTTTATCTATAGTTGTAGCCATGATATTAATATAAGCTATGTAAAATAATAGATTGTTAACATAAACTATAAATATTTTTGCAGTGAAAACATACTTATTAATTCTGAAGATAACCAAAATGCAGTTCCAATGGGATTGGCTATGTCTGAGTGTCCTGCTATTTAGCTCAGTAACTGCAGAGTTTGAGAATGAAGAAATCCAAGATGCAGATGTTGAGGTAGAAGATTTTGACAAGACCTCACAAGAAACTGATGTTGACGAAGGCAGAACATCTTTAGAGGTAAGATTATAGGTGATATGACTCAAAGCATAAGTTATAAGATGAGTGGTTCTGTGTCATAAGAGATTTAACAATGAATACATTTTAAATAGAACAGTTTAGCATATAATGACAAGTCATATGAAGCAACTGGATTATTTTTTCAGTTGCTGTATGACACTGGAATCATGCATAAGACTTGCTCTGACAATCTACCAGAGTGGAAAATAGGGCCTTCCATTGCCTGGGGTAGAATGTGCCTAGAGCCTACATTGACACAGAATGTGCCTGATAAATGAATTGCAGGGATTATTTATGCTGAAGGCAGGACCCTTTAAGGCCTTTTAAGTACTTTTGGGTACAACAGACTAAAGACTTGGGTTGCTGGAAATTAAACAGCAAATGTTGCTTGGATTTATCTCTGTTTCAATTTTGGTTCAGCTTCTGGGGCTTTTGATTATGACTTTTACTCTTATCCCCCAGCATTACTTTGAGGATTTCTTTTTAAATTTTACTGCTTTTTTTTATATGAGGTGGGGAAAGTAGGAAGGTTGACAAAATACAGCAATAGGGTTTTTTCTTTTGTCAAAAAGTAAAGTACAGTTGTAACAGCATCAACATGTGGGGGAGGAGACAAGAAAATGAAAATCAACATGGCCAGACACAAACATTACACTTTTACTGGTAATTTTAACAAAAATTTGGTGCACACAGACTGGTTTAGAAATGGCAGAACCCAGTCTAAGATTGCACCCCTCTTCCCCCCAGGAAGGGCCAAATGTGGGTTCTGTTCTCTACCAATCCATACTGTGCCACTTGCGGAAAACTGTAACTTAGACCGATTCTGCCTTAGGCTTTTTTAATGTCTGTATCTTGCCCATAAGAAAATAAATAAAGAGAGAATAGAAGATCAGGATGAGTTAGAGCAAGTTCACTAAACTATCCCTAGGTTTCCCTTTAAGTGAATGTTCTCACATACAGCTTTTTAATAGGTTTTTGCCAGCTGCTGTTATCCTGCATAGGGGCAGTTGTCTTCTTTGAATATATCTGTGTAGTTGTGTAAACATATTGTTCAAACACTTTGAACACATACAACCTGAAAGGAGAATCAGGGTGTTCCTTTTATGAACAACTTCAGAGTATCCAGCAAGGTAAAATTTAGATTATCATTCAATTATTGTCGCATTTTTTGCAATTCAAGTACCCCAAATGAGATCTCACCAGGGCAGTGTACAGTACAAGGTATAAGATGATCTGAACATTTCTGGGTAAAGCAGGATATATATCTAAATAATAATAAGATACTTTCCTACTACTACTGGAAATATTTTTTTCTGATACATCCTAGGATTGCTTTCATCTTTTCACAGATACATCACACTGATAAGTCATTATGTGATCAACTAGTTCAGCTTGGTCTCCTTTTGTGTTGCTTCCAGCTGATAACTTTTATGAGTTGGTTATCAGTCCCTATGTGCATTCCCAGGAAGTTTGACTACTGAGTTTTGTTTAATTACCATTATGATTCTATGAGGACTAGAGACTGATTACTTTGGTCCTCAGACTCATCCAGTTCTTAGCGTACAATACCTTGACCCTCCTTTTTGTTGACAGTGACTCCCAACTTTGTCTTCAGCAAATTTCATTGGCCCGCTGTACTTTTTTGTGCTATATTCGTGAAAATATTAAATTGCTTGGTTCCTTGTGGGAGCTTCAACATTACTTATGCTAAGAAAATGATCTGGACCATCTGATATCTTAATCAAAATTATAGTTTATTGGTTAGCATTGTTTTGAAATTAGTGGTTTAGATCATTAATGGTCTAAAGCACTTCTTTAAAATCTAAAAATGGATTCCTTTGTTTGTAGGCAGGTGAAATCTGGGGCAGCTTGAAGTGTCTTTGGAGAGTTGGAGTCCAGGTCATAGGAGAAAAGCTAGAACAGGTTTCTTAATAGGAGTTTTCTGCTTTAAAGAATACACAATACAATAGATTTAATGGATAGCTATTCCATGCAGAAGGCAGAAAAGATGTTTCTTTTGGGTCTGTCTTCCCTCCTCTAGTCAGCAGATTTTCCCTGATGGACAGTGTTAGTGTTTCCAGACTTCTTCCTGTGGGATAGCATAAAATGCTTTTGAACGTCTCACATTTTATTTTTAAAATCCACATCTTTTTTCCCTCCCTCTCCTTCATAGTAAAAAAACAGAGAAAAGAAGGTCTTTTCTGGAGCTCTTGGTGGAGGTTACGTAGGTCCTTGTCATTAATGGCACCTCTCTTTTTTCCTAGCATGTTTTGTTGGGTTAGAGGCAATGCTTGTTCCTACTCATAGCTTCAACAGTTTCTCTCTCCATTTCTTCCATTTTCCCAATAGGCAACATCAACTATCTGGGGAACACTTCTTGCTAGCCAGGTTTGGACTTGTTTATAGCTTCCTTGTTCTTCTTTAACTGTTCATCTGTTGTGCCTTCCCAGCATTGGTTCCAATAATTGGAAGGAAGGAGACGCTCCATATCTGTCTCCGGTGGGGTTTCTTACTATCCCAGATGGTCTGGGACAGTTCTAGCACCAGTGTCCTATTTTTTTCATATCCTTCCCAATACTAGTCATCCATGTCATTGGTCTGCATATTTCTGGATTTGAGAAGAAAACTCAGAATTTGGTTTTAGTGTGGTGCCTACCTTCAAATTACTGTGGTTAATAGATGCTTCAGTGTCACGTGCCTTTATTTAGGAAATAAAATTTGGTCTCTTACACACTCAGATATGATATCTTTTTTCCAAGCCCTGTGGGAAAAGATCTTTATTTCTGAAATCCTTATTTTTTTTTTAAAGTTCATAACTTCGTTTGTTTAGGTACAGAGTGGAAAAGGTGTCTGAATTGCTGTTCTGAGCAGTTCTATCTCATTTTTTTCCCCATCCTTGTGAAATCTTATCTCTTTGTCCTTTCAAGTGTTTGCCTGATAGCCTTTTTTGTAACCTGTTTACCAGTTTTGGATATCTCTGCCATGTCTAAATGACAGAGGTCAGAATTGGCCAAGACTCCAGAACTTCTCCTGTGGATTTGCAACGTATATTTTCTCCTCAAGGACAGGTTGGATGGAAAAAAATGTGAAACTTCCAGTGACACATCAAGTAGAACAGTTGAGTCTGATCGTGATAGTATGGTACAAGCCTTTTTGAATGCTCAGTAGAATCTTTTATGTTTCTTGACAATATGCTTTATTCCTAGTTGTCCTGTCAAATGGTGAAATAAACTGAGGGCCTTTTTAGATTAGAAAAACTTAGCCATCATTTTTAGCTGGATGTCATCAGACTTTCTTGTGATTCTTGTCAAACGATAGATCTCAGAACAAACTTACCTAAAGTTTTATGTAAGTGTGGTTTGTTTTGGTTTTTTTTTTGTCTGCAGTTTTTGGATGCAGATTTCTTCCCTTGTTCTGCTATAATGATATTCTTTTATTTAAAAAAAAGTTAAGAGTTTTAGAAAATTCATTTATTTTTATTAGATGGTTCATATAAATAAGATGTAACATATCACATTTTTCCTGTGAATTGCTTCCTTAACATGACGATTTAATATGCAAAATCTTAGCCTATTGTTAAACACCTCCAATTGAAATGCTAGTGTCATTTCTATTTTTAGAATAGAGCACTAATATTCTTTGCCTGTCTCATAGTTTGGCTTGTTCAGAGTAATCCAGTATGGGGCCTGGACGTCTATAATCTAATTTTTAAAAGGCAATATATGTTTACCAGGAGTTTGACTTTAAATAAATTAGTTAAAACAGAAAACATAAGAATGCAAAGACATCAAGACATTTCTTAGAAAAGATTGTGTTTGCTCAAGTAGTAAGGGCTGACTATATGTGAGAGAGGACAGTTGATTGATCAGGCATTTCTTGCTCAGGTATGGTACAACAGAAAACTCTTGCTCTTCATAATCCTAACATGTATGTACATGTAATAAATGTGTTTGCTTGCTTTTAGAGCTATGATAATGTTTCAACCAATAATAATAATTTTAATTATTGGACATTTTCTTTAAAATCTTTAGGTTGTATACAAGACTCCAAAGCCTATCGGAGAAGTGTATTTTACAGAAACCTTTGATGGAGTATTGACTGGGTAAGTATGCTTAAAAGAAAGCTTTATGAATTTTGAATTGTAACATTTTGAATAACTGATAACAGCTAGAAATGATTCACTCATGCCAGCTTGTTCTTTAATAACTTTGTCAAAAAGAAGTCTGAAATGAAGATCAAGGAGGTTGTCCAGTAGGTCTCATTTCAAACGGAGGATTCTTCCTATTTGTTCTGGTGCATTTTCCAGAGTAGTTTTAAGCATCTTAAATAATGGGGTTTCAGGCTCAACATTCAGATGTCAGACTGTAGAATAATCTGTAGCGAGAAAAACCTCCCTTAGAATTAATTTTTCCCATTACTTCCCATGTGCCACTTCATATGATCAAAAAAGGATTAGATATTTATATCAGAGAGAAGTAGGACTGGAAGGAACCTCCATAGGCCATCTAATCCAACCCCGTGCGTGAGGCAGGATCATCCTTTAACTATCCTGTACAAATCCATTGTCTAATCTATTAGCAAAACTACGCAGTCAACCCTAACAGCCACAAGACAACACGCTAATCTGCCACAGGTAAAGTAGGGGGGACCACAGCGACCAAAATCCTGCTGCTGCAAGGATTGTTTTAATACTTGAGAGAGATCCAAGGAAGAGGTCCTCACCTCCCACTGCAAAGGAAGGCAAAAATCCCCACAGTCCATACCAATCTGACAATGGGGTAAAAATCCTTTCTGACCCCAAATATGGTGATTGGTCTGACCCTGAACAGATGAGTAAGACCCCCTAGCCCGTAGGAAGTTGGGTGCCACCTGAAGTGGTAACTAGAATGAAAACCTACCAGCTTTGCCTTAAACCCACATAGTGTTTTTATTTTATCCCTGCAAATTTTCAGTACAGACATTCTGTTCAGATATTAGTTAATCCTGTACTAAGTGAGCTTTTTTAAATTGGTTGACTTGGATGCTGTCTTCAGGCATTGTGTTTTCTATGCTAGCTCAATCCTCCATTTTTAATCTTTTATTTTACGGAGACACTCTTGGTTTTTAACTACTCTACAGTGTAAGATTGAGACCAGGTTCCCAAGGTTATACAGAAACTTCCTTTTTCTCACCTTGGAATTGCAGCAGTAATTTCTTTATCTACTAATCTTGTTCTCTGATTCTGTTGCATCTTTTGTTGCCTTTTCTGATTTCTCTGCCATGCTTTGTGTTTGCTTTTCATATGCAAAGAATTAGCTATAAGTATATTTGCATTGGTCCCTACCCTTCACAGGAGCATTTAATAAGACATGGTTAACATTGTGTTAAACAGGTTTAACAGAGCCTGTCTTGGGAAGATTGAGAGAAAGTGGCTTCCAAAAATGAAATTATCTCAAGAGAAGATGCTCTGCCAGCATCTCACTATGAGAACAGCAGCCTGAGTGATTCACTTCGCTGTGGTGATTTATCATAGCGGGGTAACCAGATCCCCAATTTCTTGGTTTTTAAAAGTTGAAAAGGAAGTTGTTGCTGATCACAGGTTTTTGGATAAATATGCTCAAACATGCAGGCCCACTTAATAGAGACTGTATCAAATGGGGGAAGGACCAGGGTCTAATTTACTGACTGTGGTATAAAACTTTTTCTGTCTATAATATTACTGAGTAATGCTGGCTGAAACTCCGAGTGGAGAATGTTTGTCCTCTTAAGACATTTTTCTGTTTCCTTGCAAAATAAAGCTATTTCCAAAGTAACATGAAAACTGTTCATGATGAGAGAAACTAATTGATGACCATGAAGAGATAGCAAGGAGATCAAACTGTTAGCTTGAACAGTTCATTTGTGCAATACTGCAAATGTTGTGCTTGAATACTTAATGTCATCTGACTTCATGCTGCAGCTAGTCAAACTTTGTATAAGCCTTCTGCTGCTGACCTTCTTGCAGTCATCTCTTTCGCTTCATTTGTTGTATCATCTGTGTGTAGTGACCTGTAAAAACAAAGTTAGTGGAGAAAGCACTATTAAGAACAACAAAGTTCTGGAGGAAGAAGAAAATATTTGAAGTCCACCAAATTTATTAGTGGAGATGCCTGTACATGAGTCAGCCTTACTCTCAAAGCTCTCTGAAACTTACTTGTTTTCATATGCTGAAGCATTAACAATGGGTCCATTACTCTTCTACAACAGGTGATCCTAACTTCAGATCAAAGGAGATCATGCTGTATTTGGGATGGGCAATATCGCCAGTATCCATTTGTAATCTAAGTATGAGTTCCAATAGTTTGTCCTTTCCCTATATTGTAGCTGTGTTTAGCTTGCAAGGTGTGATCTTTGGCTACTGGAATTTTACCAAACACTTAGGATCATAGGATCATAAAAATTTAGGTCTGGAAGAGACCTCACAGGGTCATCTAATCCAGCCCTCTGCTCAAGGCGCAGTCATCCTGACTAAACCATCCCAGCCAAGTGTTGGTCTAACTTGCTCTTAACCTTTCAGGGGTGGAGATACCGCAGTTTCTCTAGGTAGCCTTTTCTAATGCATAACTACCCTCATAGTTAGAAAGTTACTTCTAATCCAAGACCTAAATTTCCCCTGCTAAAGCTTGAGGCCATTGCTCCTAGTCCTCTCCCCTGTGTGCTTGAATGAGGGAAAAAGGAGTGAGTGTTCAAGCAGCAAGTTGAGTTGATGTAAAAACATTAAAGAGAGATCACAAAAGCATGCAGTTAAGGCAATGGGAGCCAGCGTTTTTAAGTCTGAGGCAAATTATAGCCCAGCATTGTCCGTGGTCCCTGACTGCCACTCTGATCCCTATTCTCTGCCCTCTCTGCTGCTCTGCTGCCTGTCACCTCAATCTGCTGCATACCATGCAGAGGGTGCCTATGCTACTTGTGCTGCCCGTGCCACTTGTAGTAGTGGGGGAAACGTAAATGTTAATTAGAGCAGCACAGAGAAAAATACACTTTAAAGCTATTTGGGGAATGAAGGTAGTGTGTTCAAGAAAGGAAAGGAAAATTCATTTTTTAAATACCAAATAGTATATTGGTATTTTGTACTAATAGTACACTGTAATTGAAACAGCTTGTAACTGATTTATTCCTTAAATGTTAGAGGGAGATTTAGTGTGTGACTTGGAAATTAAGAGATGTGGTGGCATAAGTGTCTTTTATTCTTGTTAGTAAGTATTACTTATGTTATCTCTTGTGGCAGTATCCTCTTTCTGTTGGTCCAGAACTAAATAGACTTCCAGACCTTTACACCAGTGCACTTTTTTTAGATCCTTTTGGGCATCTCAGGATAGTTTTACTTTGCTCTTGCTGAGAAACCGTTCTGACTGGAGAGCATTGGCTGCATGTCTTCATATCCGTTTTGTAGAACTCTGGAGCAGGAGGCCACATTGACTGCACAGTGCTGAACCACCCCAAAAAGGATGTGGGACTTGGAGCACTTCAAATGCATGTCTGTCAGTGCAGTGACTTTGAAAGGAAGTCTCCAATTTAAAAAAAAAATCTGTAACGCAAGGTTTCTGAATGTCAAGAGCCCTGAGGAACAGGGCATGAATCAACCTTGGTGATTTTGTTATTAAGGAATTCATCTTCTTTCCTCCCACACTCCCATCCAAGGGGTAGGCTTGGTTTCTTTTGGCAATGGAGGCAAATGACAAAATATTATTTTGGTATTTTCACTGCTTATCTGACTATTCAGTGCACTGCAGGTCTTCTCCAAATTGCTCTGTATTTTGTACTTCTTGCAGAAAGTCGAAAGTAGAGTAGGCTTTGTGTCATCTTCCTAACATCAGAGGTGTCTCAAGTACCAAAACAAGTGTGCTTCCAGAAGTGTGCTGGCTTTGTAGTATTGGAGGTCAATTTTTTTTGTCCTTTAGTGATCCTGATACAGTAAATATACAGTTAATGGTTAGCATATAACTATAGATTAATTAAATTTCTTTTAAAGGCATGATCCCACCATGTCACAAGAAAATGGTGTTAAGATCTGTTTAGGTACCTTAACTGAGTATTTTCTTTCCTTAAAAGATTTGAAATTTTTTTTTAATTTAAACTTTGAATTTTCTGGGTAAATAATTCTTCATTTTGAGACTAATGATTTTTATTATGTAAATAACTAATATTTACTTTCAACATTAAAACCCGTTTAAAGCTGGAATGTATTTGAGAATTAAATTACTTTTGAATAATTCATTTTTTACTGCTTGCTAGGACTTTGGAGTTAATAATAAATATCCTTTAGTTTATACCAATCTATCTAGGGAAAACAAAAATATTATTTCTTATGTTCTTTAAATTTCAAAAAGATCTGTGTTTAATATGGTTTAACAACTCTGCCAACAACTTAAACATGTAAAAAGCCAATGTAATTCTTACTCTATGCATTAAATCAGTGAGGCTAACCTTTTTTGGCAGGGTGCCACAAATTAGCCCTGCATCCTCCTCAAATGCATCTCAATCCCCTTCTGCCTGATTTTCTGCTCTGCTTTCTGTTCCCAGCCCTAAATTCTGTTTCTCTACTGTTCTGCTTTCTTCCCTGTGCTCCCTGCCTGATTTGCTCCTTTGCTGGGCTGCCTGTCTCTCCTCCCTTATTGGCTGCATACCCCACACAGAGGTTGCCTGTGCCACATGTGGCACCTTTGCTGCAAGTTGGCAACCTCTAAGTTAAATGATGTTTTTTATTACGTTTTCTTAGTACTTGTTTTAAAAACACTGTTTTTCTTTTGTAGGTGGGTGTTGTCAAAAACCAAGAAAGAAGACACAGATGAAAATATAGCTAAATATGATGGTAATTCTTTTAATTTTAAATTTGGATTTATTCATGCTATGTAGGTTCTGTTTCTCAAAAAATATTGTAACTTCAATTCTAATTTACATTATTACCTTATTTAGAGACATATTTACAATGGGTAAAAAAAAAAAAAAAAAAAAAGCCTTAACTTGAAAGCTGTATATTTGTATCCTGGAAGTTGAATGAAATATAGAAAATTTCCAGCTATTTGGATGGAATGTTTTTTGTTAACAAGCAGTGACGTTAGAAGCAATTTTGAACATTCTTGCTGCATTAGAGCAATATGTTTAGTGTATACTGATGACTTAGTAGTTGGTATAATATGCATGGTAACGTGATGCTTTCTCAAAATTTCCAATACATCAGAAAGATTGCTTAGCTGTTGTTGCAATTAAATTTTACTGCATCAATTCACTCCAGTTTTAATGAATTAAGATACGTGCCCTTAGCAACTTTTTAATATTGACAAATATCTCCTGATTTGTTAGTTGATGTTGCCAAAAAGCCACAAGAGTTAACCTCAGGAATATATCAGGAACTATGTGATACGTTTATTTATCTGTGTAGGGTTATATGGTTCCTTATGTGCAGCATATTTTTTACTTCAAGTATTATAATAGGTTATAGGTAGTAATGGAAAGGCTTCTCTGGATTTTTTTCTTTTTTTGGTCCTGCACATTGCCTGTTAAAGTCTTGCTTTGGGAAATAGCCTGAATGTGACTCTGTAGTGCATCTGCACTTTTTACTGTGGTTAACAGAGGCATGATCAGTGGCAATAACTTTAATTCATTATGGAGTAGAGAGAACAAATTGAGTTTTTCCTACAACAAAAGGAGAATAGGGATTGCTTGCTTTTGTGTCCAATTAAAGAAACGTGCATGGAGATGGTCGGGAAGGTAACTTGCAGGCTTCCGTTGATAAAATATCATAGAATGGATACTTAAGTTTTATCTGACGCTTGTATAAACTCTCTTAAGAAGTTGCATAGGTAGGTACAAGTGCAGTTGTTAAGAAGCTTGCAAGAGGTTAAAAGTATAAGTAATACTGGAATAAAGACTCAAACCTTGTGCATTTTAAAATACTTGAGAAAGCTAAGCCATTTCCCCCCGTATAGATGGTCTAATAAAATATATCAGATTTACCCACAGAACCTTGTCAAGCTATTTCCTAAGTACTTGTATCTGTCCTGCCTGCCCTCCCTCATTCCCTTCAGGTTGAATCAAGTATCTTACTTGGTTAGTAGCAGTACCTTAGCATCAATAAGAGTGGCAAAAGAACAGGTTAGGGACTGTTTAGAAAAGCTGGAGATTTATAAGTCCATGAAGCTGGATGGAATGCACCCAAGAGTGCTGAGGGAGTTGGCTGATGTGATTGCAGAGCCGCTGGCTATCATCTATGAAAACTCATGGTGATTGGAAGAGGTTCTGGATGATTGGAAAGGGGCAAATATAGTGCCCATCTTTAAGAAAGTGAAGAAGGAGGGTGCCTAATTAGCTCCTCAGTGTATGTCCCAGCATCTACATGTGTGGCCCTATTAGGTCACAGTAAACTAATAAACTCAGCCACAGGTTAGTACTTGTAAATACAAATACTATCCTGCGGCAGAGATTTTTAGTGCGCAGCAGCACACTTATAGAAGCTGACAGGGCTGGCTGGGGCACCTAGGGTGCTTCATTGTAGGGGCTGCCTGCTAGCTAGCCTCACACTAGAGCACCCTTGTGGCGCAGCCAGCCCCTCCACAGCATGTTGAGCCAGCTTAGAGGAGCCCTGGGCTGGTAGGCTGACCCCCTGGATCCCCTGCCAGCCAGGGCTGCTCCAACTCTGCTCAACGTGCTGTGATCCCAGACGCACTTGTAAATGCAGCATCCAGGAGCAATGAACTGTAGCACAATATGTTCCATGGTTAATTGCTTTGAATTAAACTGCATATGTAGATGCTAGGGCTGTGTGAAACGGCTATGCTTCGTTTCTGTTTCAGATTCAGCCATTTTGGAGGACAGCGATTTGTTTTTGTGTTTCGGATCACTGTTCCATTTTGATTTGGCTGAATCTGTTTCGGAGATTTGGAGTGGCTGGGGAGATGCAGGCACAGCCGAGTGGCTGCAGGTTCTCCTGCAGCTTCTCCTGCTGTGCCTACCTCTGGCCTAGTGCAGGGAGCCATGGGAGAAGTCCCCATGGCTGCCCTGCCTGGCCCCATCCTCCTGGCATTTAAAAAACAAAAAGCTGTGCACTGACTGGCTGCAGCAGCGGCAGTCAGAGCCTCTGAGGGCTTGTGGAAGAGTCCCCGCACGCAGTGAGGGGCAGCAAAGATCCCCACCACCCCCCACTTGTCATCCATGTGGCAGCTGCCCCATGGCACAGGTGCAGCACGGCTTGGCAGGGTGCCGCGCACTGTCTGGGAGCTGGGGTGGCACCAGCGGTGAGCTGGAGCCCAGCACTGCTTAGCCCCAGTGGCCTCAGCTCCCAGAGAGCGCGCAGCAACCTGCTGAGCTGCGCTGCACCTGCATGATGCGACAGCTGCCGTGCAGGTGCCAGGCTGGGGGGGAAGGTGATCCCTGCTGCCCCCACTGCCTTGCGCTGTGTGGGGGAACTCTGCCATGAGCTCTCAGAGGCCCTGATTGCCATTGCTGCAGCCAGTGAGTATGGGGCTTTTTTAAGGGCCAGGAGGCTGGGGCCGGGCAGGGCAGCCGTGGGGGCTTCTCCTGCAGCTTCTCCAGCTGTGCTTGCCTCTCCCCAAATGGGCAGCCACGGGAGAAGCCCCTATGGCTGCCCTGCCTGTCCCCATGCCCTGCCTCCAGCCACCCGGCACTTTAAAAAGAGGGCTGCTGGGCTGTGCTGGACTATTTCCATGGGGTGTCTCCGAAATATTCTGAAATGTTTTGGATGGTTTCATTTCATTTTGGAGATGTTTCAGAGCGTTTCGTTTTGGATTGGGTGTTTCAGGCACTGAAACTGACCAAAATGCCTCCAAAATGAAATGGCTGCCGAAATTTTGCACATCCTTAGTAGACGCACCCATTGTGTGCCACATCAGGTATTATTTGAAGTGAGTGAAGGGGACCAGGTTCCATTTCTCTGGAAGAGAAGTTTTACTTGCACTAAAGTATTTAATAATTACTATAATTTTCTACATTGGTAAAAATATTTTTTTATGTCAAAATCACCTTTTCAGCCTTTGGAATTGTAGGGAGGGTGTTCTTGTTAAAATTTGATGGGTGTTGCATCTGTGGCCCCTGGCAGATGTTAAAATAATGGCACAATTGGGATTTGAGGAATTTTATGCCCCCTTCTCAAAATTGCTTGTTCTGCCATACCACATGATTACATCACCTCCAGAAAGCCCTTGACACTTCCCTGTTCATACTGATACTGGCTTTCATTCAGAGCCATGATGTGTAGTATCAACTGTCTTCATGTTAGGATAGTCCTTGAGCTGCTTGTTTTCCAGGAATGAGAATCTTGTACCTATCTAGAGAAGGTAAGGTTGCTTACTTTGTAACTTTTCTTCTTTTAAAATACCTAGTTTGATAATAAGCTGCACTTTTTGAAAGGTAGCTAGGTTGCACAGTACCTTGTTGTTGCTGTCCTTATGAATGGTGACAGTGGAGACAAACTTCTGTCAATCTAGTGTTATGCAATATAGGTTTCAACAGGATTCACAGAAATATTCTTCAGGTCTGAGGAAAAAACCAGGATAGCTAGAGCTAAAAACAGTCTGCAGAGATGTAGAAGCTTAAGGATTTTGCTCCACCTCAGGACCAGCAACCCCCAACACACATAAAGGCTTGGCAGCACCAAACTGACTAGTGCCATGAATGAAAGGGACCTGGAAGTAATAATAGACCACAGTATGAATATGAGGCAGCAGTGCGATGCTGTAGCCAGTAGGGCAAATAATACTCTGGCATGCGTCAATCAATGCATCTCCAGCAAAGCTAGAGAAGTGATTCTTCCTCTTTGCTCAGCACTAGTGAGACCACAGATGGAGTACTGCATCCAGTTCTGGGCACCACACTTTAACAAGGCTGTGGACAAGCTTGAGAGAGTCCAGAGAAGAGCCACCCATATGATATGAGTCTTAAAAGGCAAGCCATGTGAGGAAGGATCTGAGGCAAAGGCTGAGAGGGGACCTGTTAGCATCTTACCGCTACACTAGGGGAGTACATCAAGGGCTCGGTGAACAATTGTTCACCAGGGCACCCGAGCGGAAAACCAGGAGTAATGGCCACAAACTCCTGGAAGATCAATCCAGCCTCAGCGGTAGGAAAAGCGTCTTCACAGTCAAGGTGTCCAGACTGTGGAATAAACTTCCTCCAGGGGTGGTGCAATAGCTTACCCTGGAAATCTTCAAGAAACTAGGGAGTCACCTTGCTGGGGTCACCTGACCCCCAGTTGTCTTTTTCCTGCTTGATGCAGGAGGCTGGACCCAATGATCTTCCAGGGTCCCTTCCAGCCTTATAATCTATGAATCTAGGGGGTTTTGAATTGGAGAAGCAAGAAGGGATGCAGTATATTTTTTTTTAAAAATCTGTAAAATCATA